CATTTAACCTCTTTAAATAGAAGACTCTTGTACAGCATTATTCACAACACAATACGATACAATACAATACATTCATCCTTTTTAAGTTGGTACCAGAGCTTGTGTTCTGGGAATCCTACTTCCGCATATCGTGCCGTGCATCATACCGGCAACCATCCTTTCACACCTAACCCTTATTTAGTCACAAATTTTTTGTCCTCAACCTCGTATCATCAGGAAAAAGATCGTCAGCCTCCGTTCATCGCCGGAAACCGCCACAAAACCACCGTCCGCCACTGTTCACCGCCGTCAGACTACTTTTCCGGCGACTTTTCCGACCAACCACCATGCGATCAAGAGCAGCTCAGGGAGGCGACCCTGTCTGTCCAAGCCGCGTGTTGATCGGAGCATCCACGCGCCGCCACGCGCCGGTGGAAGTCTCCGGCGGCCGAACCACTGTTCCGGCGCGTGAGCCACCGTCCGGCCACCGTTCCAGGCCGGACCACCACCATCTTGCTCGCCTTCTCACCCTCTTTCCAGATCTGGTCTCCGTTTGTTGTGGGTCCCATCCGTTTGAAAGATATCAGTGAAAAACCCGTTGTTTGGACACTTTTGTGCAACGTTTTTGAGCGATTTCTTGCTTTCTTGTAGTTCTTTGATATTTTCTGGTCATCTCCTTTTATTTTGTGATGGAGGGCTCAAATAATGCGTCCAAAAACACGACTGGCATCATCTCCGGTACTACCCCATCTCCATTCTTTTCTCGGGCCAGTGATTCCAATTGGAACAATGGACGCGGTCGCAGACGTGGCCGCAGACAGAGGCCTCGTTGCAATTATTGCCAGAGTCTTGGGCATTTTGAAGAACGCTGCTATAGGAAGTACCCTCATTTGAATCCATCGACTGCCAACTTTGCTCAAACTGATGCTACGCCACCTTCAACTGGATTATAACTCTTTCAAGTGCCGACTATGAGGCACTTCTCAAGAAGGTTTCTTCTCAGCATCCTACTCAAGACACTGGTAATCATATTGCTTGTTTTTATCAATCATCTCTTGGACCCTGGATAATAGACTCAGGTGCTACTCATCATCTTTGCGGTAATAAAGATCTCTTCACTTCACTTCACTTTCTTATTCTAATATCTTTTGTCAGTCATGTCAGCAAGGAAAGCACATACGCTCCTCCTTCGCTAATCGAGTCAATAAACGAGCTAATGCTCCTTTCTCCATTATTCATTCAGATATTTGGGGTCCTAGTCGTACTGTGTCTGTTTTAGGTTTTCGGTATTTTGTTACCTTTATTGATGATTTTTCTCGTTTTACTTGGATCTATTTAATGAAAAATCGTTCTTAGTTGTTTTCTATTTATCAAAAAATTTCTGCTGAAATTCTTACTCAATTTGGTGCCTCTATTCGTATTTTACGTAGTGATAATGCTAAGGAATATGTTTCTGTGGATTTTTCTAATTTCTTAGCCAAACAGGGTACTTTACACCAAACTACTTGTCCTCACACTCCACAACAAAATGGAGTAGCTGAACGTAAGAATAGACACCTCATTGAGACTGCACGGACTCTCCTTATTCACATGCATGTTCCTCTTCACTTCTGGGCCGATGCAGTCCTTGCCTCTTCTTTTCTCATCAACCGTATGCCTTCGTCTGTGCTAAATAATGACATTTCTTATCACTTATTGCTTCCAAATGCTCCTCTCTATCCTCTATCCCTACATGTCTTTAGTTGTACCTGTTTTGTTCATGATCTCACCCCTGGTAAGGACAAGTTAACATCCAAAGCTTTTAAATGTATTTTTCTTGGTTATTCTCGTCTACAAAAGGGTTATCGTTGTTATTCTCCAGATCTTAAGCGTTACTTAGTTTCCGCTGATGTCACTTTTCTTGATCAACAACCCTTTCATTCTATCTCATCTCAGTTGTCACAGGTTGATCATGTTCTTCCTGTCCCTTTTCTTAACTTGTCTTTGCCAGCTGCAGGTACTTCTGTTCCAGATAAGCAACCTCCTGCTTCAATACCTGTTGACCGTCCACTTCTCACTTATCAGCGACGTAAAATTGTGCCTCCTGTCGACTCGACTCCTGCTGACTCATTGCCCCCTGCAGTTGATTCTTCCCCTCCGGATCCTTCACCAGAGGCTCTTCCTATTGCTCAAAGAAAAGGTACTCGTACTACTCGTAACCCTTATCCTCTTTATACCTTTTTGAGCTATGACCGTCTTTCTTCTCCTCATTTCACCTTTGTCTCTAGTCTTTCTTCTATTTCTATTCCTAAAACCACGGGTGAAGCACTTTCCCATCCAGGGTGGCGCCAAGCGATGCTTGATGAGATGACTGCCCTTCATTCCAATGGCACTTGGGACCTTGTTTCTGCTCCTCCAGAGAAGTCTATAGTTGGTTGTCGCTAGGTGTTTACTGTGAAAGTCGGACCGGATGGTCATGTTGATCAACTTAAGGCACGCCTAGTTGCCAAGGATTTTACTCAAATCTATGGCCTTGATTATGGCGATACATTCTCTCCGGTCGCTAAGATGGCGTCAGTCCGCCTATTTCTTGCCCTTGCTGCTATTCGTCATTGGCCACTCCTTCAACTTGACATCAAAAATGCATTTCTTCATGGTGATTTGCAAGAGGAAGTTTACATGGAGCAACCACCTGGTTTTGTTGCTCAGGGGGAGTCTGGAAAAGTATGTCGTCTTCGAAAATCCTTATATGATCTCAAGCAGTCTCCTCGCGCATGGTTCAGTCGCTTCAGCTCTGCCGTTCAGGCGTTTGGCTTAATCCGCAGTAAAGTTGATCATTCTGTATTTTATAGGATTACATCTCCTGACAAGTGCATCTATTTGTTAGTCTATGTTGACGACATCATTCTCACCGGAAGTGATCAAGACGGATTCGTCAGTTAAAACAACATTTATCTGCGTTACTTCTTGGGAATTGAGATGGCGCAATCTAGACAGGGAATCTCTATTTGTCAAAGGAAGTATGCCTTGGATATCCTCGAAGAAACTGGCATGCAGGGGAGTAAACCAGTTGATACACCCATGGATCCAAATGTCAAGTTATTGCCCGGACAGGGGGAGCCGTTATCTGATCCTGGACGTTATCGGAGGCTAATTGGGAAGCTCAATTATCTTACTGTGACTAGGCCAGATATTTCTTTCGCTGTTAGTACGACTAGTCAGTTCCTTGATTCCCCTTGTGATTCACATTGCGATGCAGCTGTGAGGATTCTCCGATACATCAAAGGAGCACCAGGAAAAGGTTTGTTGTATTCAGATCAGGGAAATACAGAAATTTGTGGTTATTCAGATGCTGATTGGGCAGGATCACCCTCGGACAGGCGCTCTACCTCCGGCTATTGTGTCTTCTTTGGAGGAAACTTAATCTCGTGGAAGAGCAAGAAACAACCTGTAGTTGCTTGGTCTAGTGCAGAAGCTGAGTATCGTGCAATGGCAAATACTACCTGTGAGTTAATCTGGTTAAAGCAGTTGATTCAAGAGCTTCATCTTTCTGAACAGAAACAACCCATGACACTCATCTGCGATAATCAAGTTGCGCTACATATATCCTCTAATCCTGTCTTTCATGAGAGGACCAAACATATAGAGATTGATTGTCACTTCATTCGAGAAAAGATTCAATCAGGAGAAATCAAAACTGCTTTCGTCAACTCCTCTGATCAACTTGCGGATGTCTTCACTAAAGCTCTTAGAGGTCCTCGGGTTCAACACATTTGTAACAAGCATGGTGCCCACAATATATACGCACCAGCTTGAGGGGGAGTGTTAGAATATATTAAATACATTAGCTGTGACTAGGGCTGTGATTAGGCTGATTAGATATGATTAGGGTCTGTAATTATTTTGATTATATTAGGTCTGATTGTATTAGGTCTGGGCCTTTCATATAAGCCCACTAGAGTCCCTATATATTGTAACCCTCTGAATTAGATCAATACACTACATATTCTTTTATAATTAAGTGTTTCAAAGCGATGCCTTTGATTTCTTGGAAATGTAAGAATCAAGATCGTGTTTCTAAATTTTCTACTACATAGCTTAATATGATGCAATGTCCTCTGCTTGTTCCGAAATTGTGTGGTTAGCAGTTTGGAGGAACTTGGCTTTTTACAATCTGAATCTATCCCTCTTTATGAGGATAATACTAGTGCTATTCAAATGGCGACAAATCATGTGTTTCATTAACATACCAAGTATATAGAGGTGGATTGTCCATATATCAGGGAAGCCTAGTCGATTCATCTCTCTTTCTTACATTTCCACGGCTCTTCAGGTTGCTGATATCTCCATTAAGGCTATGACTAGACAGCGGCATCAGCTCTTGATGACAAATTGTTGCTGGTTGAACCCTCAACATCTTTGAGCGGAGATGTCAACAGCATCTTGGCTGTCACTTATTATTTAGTCACGTGTGTATTATTAATCAAACGTCTTTTAACTGTTTACAGCTGTAATATTTTATAACTATGTGTAGATCCTAAGTTTAGCAATTGATTTCTTTTTCAGTGATTCTGCTGTAATATCTGTAACATCTCGTACAACCTCTTCCTTGTAAAGTTGCTGACTTACTATACAACGAGAATGGCAACAAAGGGCAAACCAGTTTTTCACAAAAGCTTTCCTGATAATCTGACATGGTTCTCTTGATGATCTAAGAGCAAAGATTTTAAAGTTAGCATAATTATGTGAGATACATTTCCATGGACTAAAATGAGAAGTTCGTTTTGCTGTGTTGGCATCCCACCTACTTTTATCTATGCGCCTTACTAGGAAAACCTAATTGCAAAGGGAATGGATTCTATAACAAAATGATAGGATATACTAGGTAGAGTAGAGTTATATGTTTTATCTTGAGCAATCAAAGTATAATCCAAATAAAAAAAAAATAGAGATAACGAAAACTGAGGTACAAACATTCAGGAGCATAACATTGGTGGGTTTGATAAATGGAATAAATCTGAACAAACAAACTATAATCTTACAATGGCTGATCAGATGCCTTAGCTCCAGCCCTTATAAGGCAGTAACTTGTTCCGCCAATTATTGATGAAAAGAGGCCCAATAAAATTGCAAATACATGATTACTTGTCTTAGCATATGCACTGCTTGCTTCATCAGCTTTGACTGAATGTCCTGGAAATTCCAAATTCTGAAATCAGGAAGCGTAGTTAAAGTATACCTATTATTCTTCCAGAACCAGGATGATGCAGGTTATATTCCTCGCATCAATCAGAAACAAGCAAAAATATAAAATTGTACACGAGATCAAGCCCAGGTGGCCTCTGTGCATGAGACCTCCTGTAACCAACAGGTCAAAGGCCTGTTGGCATTTAATTTTCCCCTTTTCTGGGAACGGCAGGAGGAATAAAAAGTTAGGAACAGTTTGACCAATAAATTCAAACTTTATAAGCCACTCATTCTTAATTCCTAATCAAGTAACTCTACTATAACTTAAAGGGAACAAGCATACCAGTAAATTTAAACAAATGATAATGCATTCAAAAGAATATGAATGGAAGCAACTATACCTTGCGTAGCAAGCATTTCTCGCAAGAAGAAGAGCACGCCAAAGAAACTGCAAGCAAGACCTGAAAATTAGGCAGCATTAGATTAATTAATCAGAAGGCTGCAATTGATAATAAAGACATACTTTTATCATTATTAATTTATTTCTTCTTGTATGTGTAATGTGAAATTTAGGGTTTATAATTTATGAACTATGATTTAATTATCAAGAATTTTCAGTTAAGTAGTTTATAATTTGGAGCTTAAAATTTCATAATACTAGTTGGTTTAGGATTTTATTTGCAAATGCAGATTAGGATTGCTCACATTTTTTATTTCGGCTTCTGTGTCCAAGTAGAATGAGGTTAATAGAACCCTGTAAAGAACCAATTCAACCCAAAAGCTTAAGCTGTCAGGTGAGGCTACATTAATGGTTTTATATATCTCAACATGCCCCCTCACACGAGAGCCCACTGACTTGAAGGATGGACAACGCACAGGCCCACCTACCTGTGCGAAGAAAGAAATTCCACTAGAAAGAAAGTGGGGGCGGTGAGGATCGAACCCGGGACACAAGGCTCTGATACCATGTAAAGAACCAATTCAACCCAAAAGCTTAAGCTAGTGGGTGAGGGCTTTTTAATGGTTTATACTATTCTCTAACATGTAAAGAACCAATTCAATTTACAAAAAAAAAAAAAAAAAAAAACCAATTCAACCCAAAAGCTTAAGCTAGTGGATGAGGGCTTTTTAATGGTTTATACTATTCTCTAACATGCCCCCTCACACGAGAGCCTACTGGGCTTGAAGGATGGATAATGCACAGGCCCACCTACCTGTGTTAAGAAAATTCCACAAGAGAAAGTGGGGGGCGGTGAGGATCGAACCCGAGAGACGAGGCTCTGATACCATGTAAAGAACCAATTCAACCCAAAAACTTAAGCTGTTGGGTGAGGCTACATTAATGGTTTTATATATCTCAACAAACCCGACCACAATATTAGAAGGAAAAAGGAATATTATTTGTTGAATAACATGGAAAAGAGAGACAATGTTTAAATCCGTGTGTCAATACCACAGCAAAAGCTCTATTACATAGAGCGACTCCAACAATTACATAAGACTAATTTAACAATGCAGGGCTTCTTAACAACGTAATTTCACTGGTTCTAATTCTCCCCCTCAAACTAAAACTAAAACATTAAGTTTGTTACAAATAAACCCTTATAACTGAAAATTTAACCAAATAATATATAGTTGGGCTCCACAAAACATCAAACATCAGCCCTTACAGCTGTCTAAGATGAAGAATTCTGAATTTTGGGAAGTTAGAGCATCGAATTTTGGAAACTTGACAATAGAAAAATGATGAAACAGGTCATGAAAGATGGTACGGCTCTAATACCATGTTGAATAACAATGAAAAGAAAGACAATGTTCAAATTTGTGTGTCAATACCACACCAAAGACTCTATTATATACGACTCTAGCAATTACAGTATAAGACTAATTTAACAATGTGGGACTTCTTATTAACCTATTTTTAATACTTCTAACATTGTTGATAGAATCTGTCTACCTTTCAACCTATATCAATGGGATACAAAATCAGGGATAAAGATATAAGCAACAATGATAACAGAGAATTGTTCTCTCACTCTAGGATATTTGAGAGTCCCTTTCCTTTTCTCGAAACACAACTAAATCATAACTAACTCCCCCAATCCCCTTTCTATTTCAATTACACATCTGTCTCCTCTTATTATCAGCCTTGGGTCCTAATCCTCTACTCTCCCACACATCCCTCCTAACATAGACCCTTTTAATTGGAGGCTTGCTAACAGAGGTTCAGTTGGGTCCCCTATATGTAGTTTAGTATGCCTCTAGGGATTTCAGTTGTCATAGTAATTGTAAAGAATCAATTCAACCTAAAAGCTTAAGCTATTAAGTAAAGGGCTCTTTAATGGTTTATATTATATTCTAACACACCCCTACACAAAAGAGCCCATTGGGTTTGAAAGGTGGAAGATGCATCAGGCCCAGCCTATCTGTGCTAAGAAATTCCACAAAGAAAATGGGTGGCGGCGAGAATCGAACTCAAGACACCGAGGCTCTGATACCATGTAAAGAACCAATTCAACCCAAAAGCTTAAACTATTATGTGAAAGCCTCTTTAATGGTTTATAGTATATTCCAATAGTAATCATCCACAGCAACAGGCTATTTCTAGATAATGTTGTGCTTATTGCTGAGACCAGGGCTGGTTTTAATAGTAAACAAGAATTATAAAGAAGCACGTAGGAGTCTAAAGGTTTTACATTACGTGAGCTATAACAAGATGAAGGAATCAAAAATTCGTGAATACATTAGGACAAGAGGTTCCTAAGAAATTATAGTAGACGATATGAAATGATGAGGATGTAAGAACCCGCACCATTAATTAAGGAATTTAATTAATTAACTATGTTAAATTAGGAAATGATTCCATAATTGACCCTAATAATTATTAAGAAGCTTTAATAATTATGATAAGTGATTAAGAATGATGGAAGTCGCTTTTCGGAAGAAAAGTGCAGATACCGATTCTGCTAGCCGGTAAAAATGCGTACCGAAAAAGTATCCCAGAAGGTTATAATAAGTGCATGATAATTCCTAGAATAATATATAGGACTTGTAAAACGAGTTTCAAGTTAATATAATGAGAACTGGTGCCAGAAACTGATACTAGCTATGAAAAGCGCGTACCGGAAAGGTGCTCCGAAAAATATAATAAAAATATGATAATTCTTGTAAAATTGAGTAGGTTAAGATTCTAAAGTTTGGGATTAAAATGCTAAGCGTAGCAATTAAAGTTAATATTGTGTGTTTAATGAGTAAATGGCTATATATACACCCTTTATGGGCGCAAAACCCTAGGACCAGACTTCTTCTTACGTTAGGGGTTGCTGACCAGTTCTTCTAACACTGTTCCATTGCCTCCTTTCACCATTTTTGAGCTCAAGTTGCCCCCTTTGCTTGGGTTCTTCATCTTTGAGCTTGTATACACTTGAGAGTTATCCTTGTGAGGGTGTATTTTCTGAGTCCTTGCCACGGTGTGAGTCAATTTTGAGGGCTGAGTTTGGAGGTGGAGTGGTGAAAACCTTGGTCTTGGCATTTTGAGCTTCAAAGTGTCACCTTTGTGAAGAAAAGACCCATCTTGGTGTGCATTTTTCGTACACAGTGTTGAGGCAGAATTGGGAGCTGCTGTGTGAGCTCCAAGAGCATCATCTACCTCTGTTTTTGGCTTTTGGTATGATCACCACCTTTGTTCATGAGTTTTCTTGCTAAAAATGGAACCTTGATGCATGTAAAGGCTAAAAGATGATAACTTAGTGTTGGGTAATGTCAAACACACCTAGAAATGCATGTTTAAGTGTTTAAAATCGGTAAAAACCCAACCATGGAAGGATATCTTCACGAGATGCAGAATCTGCATTTTGTCGTGAAATATCCGAATATGTGATCGTGAAATATCCGGATATTGATATCCGGATATGGTATCCGGATATTGGTATCCGAATTTGGGGTTTTTGATATCCGGATATCTGATATCCGGATATTGGACATCCGGATATGTCCCCGAGGAGTATCCGGATATTCTGGGATTTCGAAGAACAGTAGCTGCACTGTGAGGACAGTAGGCTATCGGGGGTTTGTGGACCCTAGATTGATGAAGTTGAACTTCTGTAATTAATGATCTAAGTCATAATCATGTGATTAAGGCTTATGGCTTTGTGGGAAGCCTTAAGACGTAAAACGTTAAAGGAAAACGTAGTCTTTATGTTAATGCTATTGAGCTATGCATGTTGATATGCTTTCTGGTCCTAAAACAGATTGTGATCTGCTGTGTGTTGGACTTTGAGCTTGTGGCATTGGATAGCTAGCTTAGAGGTAAGCTTTTGTGTCCTCGGTTTAGCCATGTTGTGGTTCCACCATGTCCCATGGGGGTATGGTTATATGCATGCTGTGTTACATGCTTTTGATGTTTTGGAAATGTTGTTGAGCTGTTATATGCAATGTGCCTTTATGATATGCATGTGGTGTTCCACCTATACGGTAAGCCTGAGTATGTGGTACATACAATATGGTGAGGTTGTGGGTGAGGTGCAAGCGGTGTTCCTTGTACTACATGTAGGAGACAGACGTATTCCTGCATTTCTCTGGCCAGTAGAATAGTGATAAACACACATGGCATGAATATCTGTTGCACTGCATAGTTTTGAGAACTTATATTGAGTAAATGCTTTTAGAACTTATATTGCACATGTAAGTGCGCTTGGGGTGGAAGATCCTTGAGGACCGCTTGTCTTACTGAGATTTCTGGTTTAGAGATCTCACCCCACGTTTGGGGAATGCTTATTTCAGGTTCAGGTAATGTTGAGACCTCAGGCGGCAGGAGACCGGAGCTGAGTTAGATTTGATGATATTATGTTGTTACGTGGATGCTAGTTATGCATGTTGTTTTATGCTTATAGCTTCAGTTTATGATTTTGTATTATCTTGTTGAGACGCTGTCTATTTGGTGAGCATGGGGATTGTCCATGACACATTGACTGGTTTATGTCTTGCTTTATGTGGAGTTGTAATAATGTATCAGGATGTTGTCCGGATTACATGATGTAATCAGTGTTGTTAAAACGTAGTGTCGAAACGGTCGAAACGTACAATTCTACGTTTTTTGCCTAAAAAACGTGTTAAAACGGTTGCTGAAACGTAAAATGGGTTGAAACGGTTGAAACGGCGAGTCAACTCGGTAAACTCGGTTGACTCGGCGAGTTTACCGAGTTGACTCAGTTTTCAAAAAAAAAAAAAAAAAAAAATTCTGGACCGGACTGAGTGCGTTATGGGTCTTTAAAAAAATAATGACATTTTTTTTGTTTTGAAAAAGGAAAAATAACTCGGTGGTCTTTGGTTCTTCCTTTAATACCCGATTGTATCTTCCTTTGGTCTTTGGATCTTGTCTACTTCTACTCTCCCCTAGTCGCAAGCGGTGGAAGGTGGACGGTGGTCTTCTACTTCTCTTCTTGCAGTTCAGACGGTAATT